TAGTCAAAGGTAGTCCACGCAAAACCTCAATGCTCCGTCCTTCCTCTTTACAAGGACACTGGTAACGCCCATGAACTACTTGAAGTTAGGACAATCTCGTTGTCAAGCATTTCGTGGTCCTCTTCTTGTATCGCCTCCCTCTTAAAAAGACCCGTTTCGGCAACTGATGAGAAACGGCAGTGCGTCGTCGTTAGTAGGGAGTTTTAGTAGACCGTGTTTCCCGCTCCGCTAGCCCTCCGCTACGAAGAAACCGCCACTGCGCCTGCGCGCCGATGGCCTCGGCTGTAGAGTTCCGGGTAGCGGAGGGGCTTAGCGGAGCGGGAAACACGGTCTACTAAAACTCGCTAGTAACGATACGGTTCTTTGCTAACGTCATTTGTCGCACCCTTGATGACTTCGCGAAGCACTTGCAATACTCGTTGAGAAGTTCAACTAGCCGTCCACGTTCTGAAGCGGACAGCTTGGTGTCGACGTCGAACCGCAAAGGCGGCGTGCTGTTAGATTGTGACGGCGCAGGTTTCTTGAAGATTGAAGTAATTGCGGCTGACGCTTGAAGGTGTTCGACTTCGACCATGGCAGTACCCTTGTTGGGTGCTGCGACTCCCATTGAACGTTCGTCAAGAGAATAGTTATACGTCCTTCTTAGAAATCCGCAGTGCCCCGTGCGACGCCAATTCCTCTTCCCATGTGCACTGTAACGCTGCCTTCCAGAAGAGCTACCCCGCAGGCGACTGCATTGGTCCCGACGTGCACGAGGACACTCGACAGCGGCGGCAGGTTCACGTGGCTCGCAATTACTCGGACGGCAGCTGGCGTCGTTTTGGACCCATCCGGAGGTAGGGCCGGTTTTCGCGACGTCATTCTGTTACCTACAAGGTAGATCACAGCATCATATTGACACAGGAGGTCCCTGCCAAGGATGACGTCTCTCGCACAGTCCCGAAGGACGACGAACTTGACTGGACAGTTCTCCCCGTGAATTTCGACACGAGCAGTTCACCTCCCAACAGGCGTGATGAAGGGCCCTTCGCCGGTTCGTATCTGCGGCCTGTTCCTCGGTGTCGTGACCTCGCGAAGCTGTCGAGGGAGTTTCCCACTCAGAACGAAGTAATCTGCTTCGGTGTCCAGGAGCGCCGCCGCGTCGTGGCCTTCGATGACAACGTTGAGCTTGTTAGACACCGATGCGGAATCGGGCCCTCCAACGTTCTTGGAGGATCTTTGCGAAGGTTGTCCTCGGCAGCTTGTGGGAGCCACTGGTTTCCCTCCCCCGAGAAGGCGTAAGCCGAGGACGCTCCGGGCGAAGCTGTTTGACTTCGAGCCCGGTCGCTCTGTATCGTGTCGGAGAGACTACGTCACCATGCTGACCCACTCTCTCTCACTCCTCCACGCGTCTCCCCGATTTCGGGGGAACAGCGACATCGCGCGGGGGAGAGCCGGACCTGCCCTCCGAGTGGACGGCCGTGTGGTCGGGGAGTCCTCGATTGGACTCCGGGCAACGGGTCGAGTCGCGGCGTGAGCTCGTCCAACCGGCGATGACTCCACGCTAGTGATTTCCCAGGCTCTGACAGTCGCCCGTGCCGGCGTTCCCACTACCTGTGGACGCCGACTTTGAGCGCCGGACCGATCTCCGGACGTGAAAGGTTCGTGATCTGCCCTCCTTTTGATCCCACAAGCTCCACCTCCAGGGGTTGCCGCGCTTAGTTTCCTCGGCGAGGGGCGAGGGGCGACAGGCTTACACGGTAGGGCCTATGCATTTGCGAAGCTGGACGTCGTGGTAGGGGCGCCTAGGACCCACTTCGAGGCGCAGGCATCGAAGAGGGTGGACGTCGTAGGCAGTCGTGGACCTCCCAAGGTCGCTCACTGTAGCGTGGGAGCGGGTCGTCAGGGTGGAAGCAGCGAAGTCCTAGCTGCCGACACGGGCAACGGCGATAGACGTTGTCGGCTTCCCCGCAGTGGTAGCACAGCGGGCGTCGGTCAGATGTGCGCCTCACGTCCGTCTTTCTTGGCGCCGAGGGTTCGGCTCGGGCTCGAAGGTACGGGGCTTGTTCACCAGTGCGCCGAGCGTAATTCGGAGTGGGGGCTTCCCGTTGGGGGTGCGCCGGGTGCTGGTACTGGCGGGTTGCTGGCGGCTGTCATCGGGCCAAGGCGGCGTGGCTCAGGATCGGTTCCTCGGGCGCCGCGACGCTGATGGCGGCTTCCGGTTGGAGCGCCCGTTGAATCTTCTCTCAGATGATTTCGGTGACTGATAGCGAACCGGGGCGTTCGGCATTCGGCAGCAATTTTTTTAGCTCGTCCCGAATGACACTGCGGATCGTCTTTCGGATACCCGCGAGGTTGGAACCAACATCGAGGCTAGAGAGCGCAGGAACAGCTACGTTGAGCAGTCGCTTATGAACGACACGGGCTTGAGGGCCCGCTCGATGTTATTCGCCTCCTTTAAGAAACCATCAATGGTTGCAGGCAGGTTTCGCACACGGCAACCAACAATTGTCTCTTTGACACCATGCGTAAGGATCTTCAGTTTATTTTCCTCCGCTGCCTAAGGGTCGGGGAGTGCACTCACATGGGGGGCGTCTTCAACGTAGCTGGCGATGCTTTCGTGGGGGACCTCGTGTCCTCGTTCGTAGGAGGTCCGGGGCTCTCTCCCGACGGTGCTGACTGGCGAACGACCCGCTGAAGCTCTCTTTTCAGCTGGTCCCATGATGTAATCGAGATTTCATGATTCTCGAACCAGTGCTGCGCCGTTTCCTGGAGGGCAAAGTAGACGTTCTGAAGGCATTGGTCACGCGTCCACCCATTGTGCCGGGCCATTCGCTTGTACTGGTTGATCCAGTCCTCTATATCTTCGTATACGTCGCCGTGGAAAGTCATTGGAGTTTGGGGGGCGACAGGCTTGTTAACAAAGGGGAAGGCAGCGGCGGCAGTTTGCGACGATTGGTTGCTCATCGCCGACTTCGTCGACCGAAGGTTCTTCTCCGGCAGTAGACCAAATTGCAGAGTCAAGCCTTGAACAGGGCGGCTTCCTCGGGTCTCGGTAATCTCCACGGACGGTCTTCTTGAGCCAGGGACTGGGCTTCCGCCGCGAGGCCTGGAAGGGGTACGCTTCATGGGCTGCGTTACCCCGCACCTCCAACAGAAATGTTACAAGTGAGAGACGAGGCGACAGGAGAAAACGAAATGAAGAAAAAATTTACGGGAGTTGAACTTGTACCAGGAACGAAAAAGGACAACACACGTCGTAAAAGCCGCAGGCAGTGTCGACGGCGGCGGCAGCAAGCGACCGCGCGTTGTGTAAAATCTGGTTATCGTGAAGGAGAAACAGTGAATGAACCGGCAATAGGGCGCGCGGCTCTTTATTTACTATGCTCGTAATCTCGAATATTCGACGCCGAATGTTTGGGAAAAAACTAGGGGCTGAGTGACTAGGCCAGATCATTCTGGCCTCCTTATCTTCTCGCTCGGAGTAAGTGTATACACGAATCTTCTAAATGAACGGAGCCTCATATCCTCTCGATCAAGCACGCTGCAATATTTCACTTTTTCCGGTTCTGTCGTGATTTTCTCCGGTTATGTTGGCAAAAAGTAATGAAGGTATAATATACTAAAGTATGTATATATTATTTTATGAATGCAGCCCTTTGACTGCCGTAATAATATAGCACATCCGGGGTTCCCTTTAATCAATAGAATTTTAAGAGGAGGTTAAGTGGTGCGCTTAGTAATGCAGCTTAATTATTTTATTTTATTTTAGTAATAAAAGAATTAGAGGTACCGTGCACGACACACCTAGCACAAACGAGCGCTCGCCCATAATTTTTGTTTTGTAACTGAATTGCTGCCAAACACTTGCAGTGTGGTGAAATATGTCTCTGTAGACATCAACCTGGCCAATCGAATGTTGTTGCAAATACTCTAAATATGATCAAAATAAAATGCTTACAGTATCTTGTTTGTGCTAACCGTGTCACACTGTGTACCATCGTAAGAGTTAGCTTAAGATATGTGCAGTTACTACTGTCCAGTTTTAAAAGTTTTGTTTTCTTTTAATTTCCTAATATAATGAAAATGTTTAGGAAGCACGACAGCATCCCTATAGAGACCAACCTTTGGCATAATAATGTTTTTCCTAATGCGTTAGATAATGCCAAAGTACGTTTCTTTTTAAGCTTCCATGGCTTTTTTTCTGGCTCGCCACCTAACTGCCAAAGTGTTGAACTTGTGCCAAAGTTACCACGTATCAACCGAAAAACCAGCAGTGAAGTTTTACGCTGGCATTTGTTCGGCAATTTAGGCTCAAAGTTGCCACATAACAAAACGAATAACTAGACCTTTAGGCCTAACGCTTGCACTTGTTTGGCGATTTAAGCCCGAAGATGCGAGATAACAGTCAAACTACTATCAGGGAAGCCTAACTTTGGCACATGTACTGGCGAAGTATGGCGAAGGTACAAAAGACTTGAAAAAGAAGGCCAATTTTGTCACTGCCTTTGTTTCATCGAGCTTTCTAAGGCCCTAAATTCTTAGACAAAAACAAAATTTTGGCCCCAAGTGCTGTGCTATCTGAGGGTGGCTTAATTGACTGTTTATAGGGAATAATGTTAACGTAACGTTTGTAGTAAATTAAAAAAAAATAAAAGCATAAATTTTGATTTTTTTTTTTTAATACTCAGTGACTGTTGCGCCGCTACCTGATACCAGAAAGAGGAAAGGAAAAATACACCTGATGAGTTAGTCTTGAAAAACAATATCCGTGCGGTTTTGTATTTTTGACTAAATCAACACCAGCTTTATTGGTCTCTGAGCTTACTATGTGCAAGAACAATGAAGCAAGTATAATATTTCGTGCGATTTCTTGAATGTAATCTTTTCGTAATTAAGAAACATCTTATTTTTATGCTGCGCCATATACACTCTAATATACCGTTGCGGCTATTTAAGAGATGGGTCAGCATTAATGAGTGTTAATATGTACTTGTTTGATACCCACATTAAAGACTTACCTGTTTGGCATACCATGCAATCTTGTTTCGTAGGAAAGTTATTTCTGTTGCCACTACAACGATGCCACATAAACTTATGACAATCGGAGTCGGTGCTGTTGAAGTACCACCGGGAAACTGCTTTTTTTGGCCTTCCTTTCTTTTTATGTTCGCACATTCCCCTGTTCAAGTCCATCCGACAGTCCTGGGCGGTTATAATTTCCTCTGTAAATAGAAATGAGTGTTAATATGTTTCTAGATTGTTTGCTCACATTCACTTAAGATATAATCATGTTGTGAATAACATAGCTGATAAAAATTAATCAATATTCTGAGTTTTAAGGCATTGATCGCTCTGATTGCTTTGTTAAATTATTTTTCAAAAAATCAACAAAAATATATATCCCAGCGCGTTTCAATAATCTTGCACGACATTTTTGTGGAGCTCATTGAAATAGAACACAAAATCTCTTTGCCCCCCCCCCCCCCTTTTTTTTTCTAAAGTAAAAAGTACAACGCAAGTTAATTCCGTTCCTCTTTTTTATGTCGGCATCAATTTTTCTTTGTCTTCAACTTTATTACCTTCCCCCTGCATGATGCTTGACAAGTTTCGTAGCTTCAGCATGCATCCAGAAGAAGTAATTTTTTAACGCCACCATGCCCCCAGCGCTTCGAACTTACATCCATGCATTATTACCGGAAGCACCATATCAGAAGATTTTAACGAAGCAGAAATGGACTATAAACTCGGAAATATAGAAAAAACTGAACTGCTGCAACCATTTGTTGAGTTCCCTTAACCACGTGGTAAGAAACTTTTCTGTGTTTATTAAGGGGTTCAGAAAATTAATACCAGCGCACTTACGAAAATTGAAAATTGTTGAGATGCAACTTTGCCGAATGCGCCAATAACTAAAGCTATATCTTTCCAAAGGGTTTTAAGAGAGCCTGATATCACTATCTATCTCACTGTTCTAACCTCCAGTTATTCTAGCTGTGTTAAGATGCAACCACCAAATATCAAGGACAACTACCTTTAGCCGATTGTCGGAAAGGGTTAAGCGGAGCAATTATTAAATGCAAAACTACAAAATAATAATTTTTTGTTTATTAAGACTGAATAGAGTCGGAAAGTGTATTTAAAAATGTTTTAAAAAGATACTGAATCGAAACTTTAAAATATACCTGTCACGTTCAGAAATAAAGTAAACATGTACAACTCTATCTCTTAATGACAATCACACGCTTGTATTTCGAACGGATAGCTAGGTATATTTTTGTTCGAAAGGACCGATTCCACCGAGCGCTCGAAGGTCAACCATTGGGAAGCGCGATACATCCCAGAAGACGTGACGTCAACTTAGTCCGGTACGGGAAAAGCTGCTTGGGGCTTGTGTTGTTATGAGCTCCGTCACTTGGAGTCGTAAATGCGTTTTAACCTGGCCGTTTCAGTTGGCCTTCCCCGCACCCCGTAGGAGTTGAATAGGCCGGGAGAGAAGGAAAATCAGGTTAGACAGGGCCTCCGCACACGCAGCTTTCAATCGTTCTCCCGCCGAGCGGCGCTGCTTTTAAGTTTAGAATGGCCTAACGACATTCACTTTATTCCTTTTGAATAAGGTTTTCGTGTCTTTTCGAGCAAAAATTGGTTTCACCTTGGTGTGGAAAGAATGTGGTTGACATTTCGACAATAAAATAGGTGCTAAGAATTCCCCTTGCAGTATTCCTTCAATATCTTCTCATTCCAAGCCTTACGCACATCCATTAGTGTGACCGTTAAACGGAAACACGGCTGAGTTCCGAAGATTTAGATACTATGAGAGATCTCGATTTAAGAAACCGAAGTAAAAGACACAACGTCATTTGCTTGGCGAAAAACAAACTCGGCAGTCGTCGTTCATCGCACCGCACCGTCGCGCTGCTACTGCAATACGCAGTCGCATTCCACAGATGACAAGGAAAAGTTTGACTCGTTGACGTGGAAGGATCGCAAAGCTGGCTTCGGAGTCGGGATCCACGGGAAGAAGGAACACGTGTCCCGCAAACGCACGCCTGCACACGCCCCGGGAGGCAGACGAGCCGACGCGCCGACGCATCACCCCTAGCAACAAGTTTGCGGGGAGAAAACATAGTTCGCTGGTTTTGGAGCGATAATTGCGGACTATGTTTTCCGCACCACAATCAGTTTATGTTTTTCTCAAGCTCTAATTTACAACAAGCTTAAAAAGTGTTGCAATATTAGCGTTCGCATTGACCGCGAAATGCAGCATTTCCATTGGTCAAGTTTTAGCGATGGGCAGGGAATGGGGGATTGTCTTCCAAGAGAAAATAGTCCCGATATATTTCTTCTGCCATCTGCTTAATAAACGGTTTTGTAATCTAAAACTTTGTATACATATTAACTTGCACCTATTACGCAATATAACAACGTAAACAGACGATCGCAGAAAGCTCCGGAGGGCCGCTTTAAGGCAACCTGCCCGTGCGCGGTTGAGGCCTCGCCGTTCCTCGCCGCAGGAAAAAGGAGCCAATGAGGGGTGGCGCAGATAGTGACGTTAAGATGCCATGGTAACGCGCAAGCCGCTTTGCCGCGCATATTTCACGTTGCAAAGGAGCATAGCGTTGTTTCGTTTCGTCTGCTATGCCTATGTTCCCCAATGCCCTTCCCAACGGAGCGGTTTCTCGAAACCGTGCGTCTGTTTCCCTTTTTATATGACAAGAAGCAGCCAGACTACCTAGATAAGGACGCCAAAAACTACCGCAAGGAAATTATCGGAGATGAATTTGGCATAACAGTTAATTTTTTTCCGGATCGTTTTAGAAACATTGACACAGAACTACCTCCTAATACTTGACGTGTGGTCTTCCTAGGCTGTACTGAAAAGTACTGCACTGTTTTTTCAAGAACAAAAAATAAGCGGGGTAGCCACATAAGGAACTAAGGTGGTATATGTTTTTGGAAAAAGACATGTTCTGTTCTGGGTTTTGGGACAAAGAAGAAATGCAAAGTTTGCGTTAGGCAGGACGGAACGCGCTTTCTTATCCTGACCGTAATGAAAAATTTAACTCTGAATGCCACTTGTTCTGCATGTTATGGGGGTTTATATGATGGAGCCTAGTAAGCATTGCGCTTTAAAGCAGCACCGCATGTCTTGTATTATGTTAATTTATGCAGAACTACATAGGAAACGTTTAGTAAAATGCTGAACTGATTTTATAGGGGTGCATAAATTTTAACTGCATCAACGCCATGCTCAGTTGTCGGTGAAATGTTTTGGGCGGCTCTGAATGAATGCGTTGTATCGGTATCTACGTCCTGGGCCAAAACAAAACGTTTTGACTTCTTCGAAGGCTCATAAAGGTGGTTTGAGACGTCGCGTTCTTAATGAAAAAGACGTGGTAATTCCAACGCCTTAATTGAGTTCAGTTTGCTTTCGTTATTTTGAATTCGTTTGATTCACCTAACAGATTTAATACCTACACGCGTTCATTCAAGAAAAAATAAGGTTTTCGTTTAAGAGAGCTCTAAGTTGGTTATTTCTGCAAGAACACTGATGAGTATACTTTGTTTTTGCTAATTCCAATTTCAGGATAACTGAAAAAGATGTGCGTAGCAGGATTGTTGCCAACTTAAGAAATGAAATATTTGTAACAAACCGGGGTCAGCGTAACCTAATCATCTTAAAATGTAAATCTTAACATCGCTCCCGAATTTTTCAGGTCTCATGACGATTTACAAAAAAGTGTAGCACATAAAGCAGCGTGTCAAAAATAGGTAAAACATATGCAGCTTGCTATTGGAGGGCGCAGACTTTTAAAAATACGGATAAGAAAAAACAATTACGAAAGATCTACATATATTAGGCGACATCAGGACACACATTAAACATAATAATGTGTTGACTAATCACTTAAATAGGACAAATGAACCTTTTTTAATATTTTTTCTAATCAGTACATTTCAATCAGAAATATATAGCCCTTCCTCAAGGTAATATCAGTGGATACGTAAAACACAGGCGTGCTTATCCTATTCAGAAGCAATTTTAAGCTGTTAAAGTTAACATTTGTAAGCTCAGGATACCAGTGGCATGATACCCTCGGGTCACACAATAAAACGTACCGCATAGCTTTTCTAAAGTTCAAAGCTGGGCTAGTTGGTATAGAGTATACATAATGCAGGTAAAACATCACAGAACGACAAAGAGACGAACGAAGGAACAAACAGGACGGAACAGCGCCTGTCCCGTCCTTTTTGTTCCTTCCTTCTTTTTCGTTCTGCGCTGTTATACCTGCATTATGTATACACATGGTTTTTCTTTTTTCGTTTGCACTTTTAGGGTTTTTGTCGGACTTTTATCCCTTAAATGAGGTATGGCGGACTTGAGAAGGTTTAACTTCGTATATGAATATCGCGGAACGACGTGTTTGTGTCAGACTTAATGTGGAATGTTGCTTGTTGACCTCTACACCTTCGAATCTCTAATTAAAATCTGCAGGCCAAGAAGAATGTTGAAATATTTAGGTCTATAATTTTATCAGAAAAGTTTTATAATTGTGACGTCCCCATTTATGTTCTGACGTCTTTTGCGGTGAATAACGTTGTCCTCAATATATAGTATTGTTTGAAGGGATCTTATCGGGCTATTTGTTTGGTGGGAACAGCTCTAGAGGTCGTAGGACCACGAGGAGTAAACACACAGACAGGGCGCTGTTTCGTTTGACCAGACCCCATTACATCTTCACACACAGCTCCCTGTCCGTGTGAAGTTTCCTCGTCCTGGTCTACTAGCACTGTTCCCACCAGACAACTATGCACCGCCAACTAGCCCAACTGCATGCCTATCGAGCTATTTCTCATTTAAATTAGAGTATCTAAGATGAGAGAGAAACTAATGAGATAGAAGCGTTAAATACTAATGAATCTTGCGTTCTACACCAAGTATTCAGTCATTAAAAATTCAGGAAATGAGTTCTTTTATTCGTATTTTATCATAACATGTGTGAAAAATTTTGCGATAGTTTTGTGTCTATGCAGACTATTGCACTTTCTAGCGCTCTATTTCTTCGACTCTCGTTGGTCGTGCTTAGGTTGGACAATCGATGTATATTTTATATCTCAAACTTACCCATTTCGCAAGCCTGTTGACAGTCTTGGAATGTTGAAAATGTATTATCTTTCCCTCCACAGAAACTTGATGTAGACCTCTCACATCTTCCGATTAGATTATTGAAATGCCAATCTTTTTGGCGACGGGTACATGATGTCGTCATTAAATTACATTTGGTTGCCTCCACTGGAATATGTATTCGACGAGTTTTAGCGTCGTACATTTTGTCATAATCATTACAGAGTTTGGAAATTCATGATACAAACTTTTATTCGCTAAAAGTAATTCATTGATTCACTTAAATAGTAACCTACTTATCTTTTTATCACGAATGACATAAGGTAGGTCTAACCTTGCGTTCAATAAAAAAAAAGTATCGTGCTTTCTTAGTATTTCTAACGCCTTTGTTCAAATACATAGACAATTACTACAATCACTTTGTACACTGGACCGTGGAACATGATGTTCGTCATGTTTTTGTATACTGTGTTCTATCATCGCTGAAACAGTCAGACACAAAAGACCTTAGTGACGCGCTCTTTACGCTGCTTGATTAGTTTCATAACTTTTAATACCTCGTAGCATCGGCTGGTCCTGGACTTAGGCTGAGCAGGGGTATGCGAATAGTGCTTAGAATCGAATAGTGCAGCGTCACCCATAGCTTCAACAACGAAAAAGAGAGCCGTCGTCGTCGTGTCGTGGTGGTCTTCGAACTGGAAAGGCTATCGATGACGCAGCGCTATTCGATTCGAACAACTATTCGCACACCTCTAAAATCTTTCAGACTCCGCGAATGCGTCTACGGCTCATGACACAGCAATTTTTGCCTGAGTCAGAAGCGACGAAAAGTTTTAGAGCTTGGCGTTAGGCGGCAATTTAATTTCACTCAGTTTTGACGCCGGTTTAGCAATCAATGGCCCAAGGTATAGTATCTCACGACTTCTTTTCTTTTTTTTTTCTTTTTGCAGTACGTTCTTTTAGAATTTTGAGAGGGGTGTGAATGTATGTACATTACTAGTTTACGGGCCTCAGTACATGGTGACGACGTGCTTTATGATTGACCGTTGCAAATTCGTGACAGGATCGTACGCAACCCGAAGCAATCAGCAGATGGTTCCTTTTTTTACGAAAGAACGATTTTTGTCATATTTATAAATGTCGTTTCAGCTTAAGACCAGACGCAACCGACGCTCCGATCTAATTGAACATATCAAGCAGCCTCAAAAGCGCAAATCACTGGACATTACTGTTTGCGACTGGTTCAGCGATGATTGAAACATGCCAAACACCATGATGGTGCCTTTTTGAGGCTCTCTCAGTGGTCCCATCAGCTCGTCGCATCGGCTACGTCTGCACTTCAGCTTAAAGGAAATATTGCATGCGTGACGGCTCTTCTCAGTGGTATCTGCGGCGATGTGAGTCAAAAGGAAGCAAGCTGTAAGTGATGCCGCACCTTGCTTTTGAATATGCAGAGTCGAACCGCAGGTGTGTATAAAGAAGTCGCTGGAATCTTTTTTATCTGTTCTGGTACCCCCTGATCACTAAGATAAATGTAATTTTGGGTATTATTCCGTATGTTACTTTATAAAATAACACATGCAGTTTCAACACGTGCTGAGGGTGTAATAGATCATGAATTCACGATAGAGAGTAGTTTTCGTTTTTATTTTATAGCTGACAAACTTTGTGTAAGACCACCATTGCATGCGTAACTCTGTAGAACGTCGAAATAATATTTTGACTTGAATAAACAAAATCATTCAACCTTACTGTGCGTATGTATGCTCTTACACACGTAAATAAGAGTTTCAGACTAAATTCTTGTGATGCTTAACGAACTGCGTCATTTGATAGCTCCCCATACAACTTTACATTTGTTTATAATCTACCGAGTGACCCAAATAAAGGCCAGGCTCTTTAAATCCACTGCAGAATTCTATTTCTTAACCTATCGCACTACAATTTTGTGCAGCGTTGCCCAGAAATGGAGCTTTTTTTTTTCTTTTTTCTTGTAAAATTTTTAAAGGGCGAGCTTACCTGAGGAAATGGTAAAAAAAGAAAAAGGCTTAACTTCTATGGTAATCCAATGAAGCCACCGGTCTTCAATCAATAGGCGTCGTATTGTTTCAAGACGGGTAGCTTCGCTGCGTTTCCATTGGAGTTAAGCCTTTTTCTTTCTTTACTTTTTCCTCAGGTATATTCGCTCTTTGCAAAATTTTAGAAAAAAAAAAAAAAAAAAAAGCACAATCCGTGGGCAACATTGCACAAAATCGTAGTGCGATAGGTTAAGGAACCGAATTTTGCTGTCGATTAAAAGGGCCTGGCCGCTATTTTGGACACCCGGTATTGCGGCTTCAAATAATCAATAGGAGAAAGAAAAAAAAAAACACTCATAGCAGTGGCTTACGTGCTCTGGCTTATTTTTGTATGCGGCGAGCAAGTCATGTGCTTCTTGTGCAGGAATTCCGGTGACGTCAGAACGACACCGAGCTCTGAGTGGCTTTGATTGATAGTAGGTAGATTTCAAGGCTAGATGCCTTAAGGTCTACTCACTATTTGTTTTTAATCATCCAATAAGAGCTCAGCGATATGGCATCATCGCAACCCTTCTGCATGAAGCAAACGAACTGGAGCTCGCATTGTAATCAGTGAGCTTAAAATTTGCATGTGAAGTGATTTTAATGTTATAAAACAAAACAAAACAAAAACGAAACTCCCGCACCGGGACATTGCTTTTTTCGCGAGAAAAAAAGCGAGCAAGCCGAAACGTCAAACCCGCAGTGCACGTCACAGCTTAGGCCTCCTTGTAGTTTCTTTGGTATACCCGTTGGCAAAGCTTAGAGACAGGCAAAAGTCAAGGTGCATCACCGTAACGTAAGAGGGCGCCACCGTTATTGTCATAGGATTGATTTCTTTATATTTCCGACCCCCCGTTATTCGCTAAAACGTCGATTCGCTCAAATGTCGCTGTTCACTGAAACGTCATTCGGTCATGTGATATGGACCCGTCAAACTTTACCTCTTCCCTTCGAGATCTTGGGAAGCGACAAGGCGACAGAAATAGATTACTGCAGTGCGACGCATCAAGTGTGTGAATTTTACAGAAACAGTTGGGGGGGGGGGGGGGGGGGGGAACTGAACGAAAATATCTGCGCATGCTTGGAAAGTAGTCTGACGAACTCGTTTTGCAGACTAGTCGGCACAATAACATATTTACACAAGTTGTATTGCGAACCACATAGACAGCCACATAGGGAAATACGGTAGGAACAATCGGGCCCATTGTGTCTTCGCTGTGTCGTCGAGAATCGGGTGATGAGGTCTTCAAGCGAAAGGCCCGTCGGCCCGTTCTCGCACTCCTAATGCCTTTCCGCACGCGCGGTCGCAACCAAAGCCTTCCAAACCTGCGAGTTTTCAAATTGTGCATTTTCGTTGCAGAAAGTTTTGCCTGTTTCAGCAACCAAATTTAATGCTGAGCCTGGTAACAAATGTGACGGCGTGCAGAAAGCAGGATGCTAAAGTTTTTCTTTAGAAAAAGCTCGTGCGAAGCGTAAATATCCTTCTTACACGTACCGTTTGTTGCCTGCCGCCTTTTAGAGCGCAGCTCTTAGGCGTCCATTTCCGGCCTGAGCGGCGTCGCCGTCGCCGTCGGCGTAACCGCGCGGTGCATTATGGGTAAATTTTTCCGAAGGGACCCGAGGACTCCCGAAGGAACCCGAGGTCGTCCCGAAGGAACTCGAGGTCCTTCGGAAGGACCTCGGGTCCTTTCGGGAGGACCTCGGGTTTCTTCGGTAGGACCTCGGGAGGACCTCGGGTTTCTGCGGGAGGACCTCGGGTTTCTTCGGGAGTTGCATGCAACAAATTGCATGCAACTGGCAGTCAACGAGTTGCATGCAACCTGTTGCATGCAATCAAGGTTGCATGCAATTCAGGTTGCATGCAACCTTATGGCGTCATTGTCATCCGCATCGTCATCGTCATCAGTGATCTCACTGATGACGTAATCAAATCGTCATCGTCAATGTCACGTGACCCCCGAGGTCACATGACCCTACTGAGGTCACGTGACCCCCTGGAGTCACGTAAACCCCATGAGGTCACGTGACCCCCTGAGGTCACGTGGCCCCCTGAGTTCACGTGATTCTCCTGAGGTCACGTGACCCTCTGAGGTTCCGTGACCTCCCTCCCCCGAGATCACGTGACCCCCTTGACGTCACCTGACCTCCCATGAGGTCACGTGACCATAAGGAGTCACCTGTCCCTCAGTACGCTTCCATCCTGTTCCTCAAGAGCTGCGCTCCAACCAGCGTTACAGGGAATTGTAAACGGCTTTTATTTTTACACAAGGGTTTGCAATGGTGTGTACAGTTCTCTAGCATGCAGAGTTTGGTTCTAATTACCCAAATTTTATTTTAGTGTGTGTGGGCGTCAGGAGGAGAGGACGGCCGAGCGAGGCCGAGCGAGGCGCGAGCGGTGGCCAGCCGGCGAGGAAAGAGGAAGAGCGTGCTGCACGAGGCTGCAGGGCCGAGCAGGGACGATAGAGCCGTTCTGGCAGGGCCCATGGCAATCCCCGGGAGCATTCCACCAGCGAGGTTCGGATCAGGACTGGCGGAAACGCGAGCCCTGGCCATACCGGCCTGGGCTATGACGATCCCGGAGTGGCTCCGCAGCGAGGCCCTGGCTGTGATAGCCCGGAACAGCTAGCCTACGCAGCGTTGGCGTACGGGAAGGACGATCCGCAGGTCTGGACACGAACTCCGACTGCGAGTTCAGAACGACGGGCGACAACTATAGGGTCGGCGGGTCCAGACTGGCGGCTCTCGAAGACGGGCAACCGGGTAGTACAGTAAACCGATGCGCTGCCTTCTCGTTGTGTTGTGTCACTTCCTGGGAGACGAGCGAAGCACATACCGATCGGGCGCTGATTATTATATAGTGGTGAAAACAACTCAAACTCTAGAATATATGCTCTAAACACTTCGACCTGTCAAGGCTCCCGATGGTCTTAAAAAAACCGCGTAAAAGTACCAGAGACACGGCGCGCACGTACACACGAGGACTGCTGAAATCGGGGTCGCCGCCGCTCGCCACGGCCCGACGGGCAAACTGGCCGCCCCAGTAACACACGCCTCCGATCGTGGCACTGAATGCAGCACTTTCGTGGCGCCGCCTGGCCATTGCCGGCTAGCTATGGGCGCTGCGGCGCTCGCGGGCACGCAGCGCCATGTGGTGGCCCTTCCTTGAAACTGACGCACAGCGGTTAATGGGAGCCTCGTCCTTTCAAACTATGGCGCGCACAAGCCAATGGGACCTAAGGCGAAATGAATCAGATTTCGGTTTCACGTGGAGAAAGTTTAGGTGCCGTTTGACGCGGCTTTAAAACTGATGACGTCGGCTCGTTTTATAAGACAATTAATGCTTTCGCATTAAAAACTTGCCCTCAATAGGCTACCAAACGGCGCCCAGTGATAGCCGCGGAATAGGTCAGATTGTAACACGTTATTTCGTTTATGTTTGGTTATGGATGTTGAGAGACGGAATTTACAATCGATGAAGCTTTACAATTTCAACAGGAGTCATTAGGTCGAAATCACTAGACCGGTTGTCACATGCTTTTTGGGACATTGCACTGTAACATCTGCAACATCTCGATAGTTCGGACAATTTAATTGTGGCCACGCCTTTCTGATAGACGACGGGAGATCTTGTAGACCATCAACGGTTGTAACTGAAGAAAATATCGCTGCTCAGGGAAGTTTCCTTAGAAAGGACACTCGATTGAGTGAAAAGGCTATCGAGGAGACCCGGGAGATTAGTTTGGCAAGTTTTCGAAGATTCTTCACAATTACGCTCGTGTGAGAAAGGTTTAATATCGATGGGTGACACATTTTGACGGAAGCTGAAAATATTGCTAGGGTAGAATGCTGTCAAGAAATACCACGGAGATTCCAAATTTGCAATCCTACCTACGTCAAAACAGTTTACAACCATTAAATGCGTCAAAAACATGACAGAAATATTAATGGGCAACCAAACCTGTATATACAAATATGATATCGGAAGACATCTTTCGTCATTCGTTTGGGTCTTTTGTGGCGAGACTCCACCTTCCAAAATCAAGGTCTAGAAGTGTCGGAAAGCAAATGGTGGCAACCTTTTTCTCAACCATTGAACACGTGGTCACGGTTGCTCTTGAAAACCGGAGAACATTAACTGAACAACGGTATTCCATATTTTTCTTCCAGCAGTTCCTCCCAAATTCAAGAGAGGGGGCCAATAACTGGCTCAAAAGAAACCATTTTGCATCCTAACGATGCATTAGCCCAATCTGCAACGTGAGATTAAACTTCCTTGAAGACGCACAGTGTCAATCACCCTACAATACAGATGTGATTCCGCAATACATTTTCTAGTTCTTGGTGGCGAAAGTAAACCTATATGCACTTTTAAACCACTGAAGTTGCAGCTCCTGCCCACCAAGAGCACTTAACTGCAATGGACAATACCTGGTGGCACCAGTGATCCCGGGATCGCGTGATAGGGTGGGTCGTTTTGTGCAGTGTCGGGGTTAATGCTCAGAAAATATATAATAGTTGGAAGAAGAATATCTTTAAAAAGTGACGATTGTCTCAACTTTTTTTTTTTTTTTTTTTTTTTGTAATTCTCGAATAGCCATGTAGCGCCGCACGGTTTTATTTTTTTGTAAGCTTGGGTAGTTTTAGCAAAACGCAACAGTTATCTAATGTTGGTTGTGAGAAATTCAGATTGAAAATGAAGCAACAACACGGTTGTATTTCTTTTCCAAGTTTGTCACTTTGTAGTTTTTAGTGCATAGCCATGTAGAACATTATAACGGTATTCTGTTCAGAATCGAGGGAGGCTGGCGCCGCATTCGACAAGTAACGCGAAACAAAGTCCATTGTGATGGCTATGTGAACACGCCGGCTTAACTTACCTCCATATACGATGCAGATATGAAAAAGTAGCAGGATAAGCTTAATTCCAGACATTTGTAAAGATAAGTAGTGGAGACCACGAATTTCGGTTAATGCGCTTTGATTGCTGGCTTACAACAGGCTGAACTTCGAAAGACACTAACGCCTTTCCCCCTTTGCTTTTTATTTAACTCGGACTCTGGATCTACGGAATAATGGTGCGTATGTTTTCCAACGGAAATAGGCTTTAGTTCTGACTTTTCGGCTATGAAGAGCATGGTTTAACCTTTAAAATAACTTCTGACCTTCTGAAACACTCTGCGTTTTGACCTATGAGTCCCCAGCCGTTACATACGTCAAAAACAGAAAGCGGTATTGCAGCGGTAATAAACGTTCTCGGAAAAAAGAAAAAAGTAATTGTTTCAGATAGTATCACATTTCTGGCTAACCATGGCTTCTCTAGTGGCTATAATATCCGTTGTTTGTACATCCTTAGCACGACACACGTTGTATCAGGCACACTGTATTTCAGTTCATAGATGACAGTGGTTCTGAAATGGGCGTCCGCGGACCCTTTTGGGTCCGCGAAGGCATTTCGGGGGTCCGCGCAGCCCAGCCTCATCAGTCAAGCCTAGCAATAAAAGTTATCTTTCCTCATATTGAGAAGCAACGTTCCAATTTTCGGGCGAGGTTTCTCGTGTGTATGCCAATAAGAAAAGTCTACACCACACTAGCCCTTAGTTATCCATTTAATGATTTGCTATCACAATTAACCTATATATTTCCCTTTCCCTTACCGCGAATGGGGTTTTCCTCCATCTCCGCCGATCCACAAGGGGTCCGCGAAACATTGACGGTTGAGAACCACTGGTCTATGAAGTTATCTTTCTATCCTCGTTGCCAGTTTTTTTACGTCCCTCGTCCAGTACTGTCGCATATTTGCATTGTCACCAATGAGTAGGGAGCCCCAATTGGGTTCTTATATATTCCTGAGCCATTATAATTTCAACTTAATGTAAATAATTTATAACGCCATTATGTTTGTATGTGCATGCGGTTCTATTAGCACATGTGGATTTTAGTTTCATATTAACACTTGTAAAATATTCATATATGACTAATTGTCGCATTTTTATTTGCCTGCCTAACAAAAAAATCTGTCAACTCAATTTTTTTTAGTTATCTCAGCGTCTTCCAGCATATAAACTTATTTAATATTATTTATTAAATATGAGAACGTAGTACTTCATTGCCCCAACCTGTCAAGATCTATCATGAATTTAATAATATTTATAAAAAGAGAGTACAATACGTGGCATTTACGTAGCAATGCTTAATTAAGCCTCCTTAAACATAGGGTAAAGGAATGAACAAATAGGTATGTGGCATTCTATACAACCCGTTTAAAGTTATATGGCCCAAGCCTAGCCGCTCTCAGAAATAAGTAATTGTAAAGTAATTGCTTTACTTTTTAAAAGTAATTTGAAATTATAATTAACTACTTTTTACGTAGTACTAATTATAACTGTAGTTAAACTACTTTTGAAACAAATAATTGTATTTGTATTTAGATTACATTTTGGAAGTAATTTACCCATATATGCTCTGAGACGAGGGAAGAAGTCAGCCATGCTCGAGAAGTCTGGTTGCCGTTGCTTCCACATTGCTGCACTCCCCGTAAAGACGACTGGCAAAATGCAAGTGAGGGCCACTTCGTCGCTGACGCCTGGTGCCGCCTGGTGGTCCTGGAGCTCGGCGATGAAGTGCCCACTTATTTGATGGTCAGGTAACCTACATATTTGGAACATCCAGTGAAAGTTTTAGCTAAACTCTAGCGGGCTTGCTGATGACGGTGACCGATCGTGTGAAACGCTGCATATATGCTCGCGCTGCATCTGAAGTTAGAAGGTCACGACGGCTTTTACATCTGTTAGGCCCTCCTGCGACGCTACGTCTGCGGGGGAGGACATGCAAAGGACGCGGCCTGGGTGTGTTGCGCTCCTCTTCAGCTTTGCTATAAGCTAGGCGAGGGGTAAGTCCTAGTTGCTCAAAGTCGCACTGGCTTTATTCAATGATCGCTTTCGTTGAGGTGTTTGCGGCGGTGTTCGCGTCATCCTATAAGCCTCGAATGTGCACGTTTTCGACCGTGAGGTTTTGTTTGAGGTAGAAACGTCTCGTCACAACAGTGCCACTCAAGACGAGGTCGTATACTGCCCGTAAAATAAAAAAAAGAAAATCCGCTTGGGTGTATTATATAGCCTGGGAAACCAAACAATTTCCATTATATGGTCTGTTCGAAAGATCGCCGACTGAGACGGACCGTGGAAGATAAACAAAGGTGGCTAAAGCCAGGGTTGCACGAGCTGCGTGCCTACCTGTGGTGCGTGGCTCTGCGGCGATAAGCGGTGCACGAGCGTATCTCTCGAAGGACGCACGATACTTGTTCGGCCACTGTCGTTTCTTCAAAATGAGCCGCAGTAGTGGCTAGCAGAAAAACTTATTGCGGCGGAACATGTCTCGCGTAGAAAACAAAATCACCGGAGCACGCAGAAAACAAGTAACAAAATCATGCACTCACCTCTCGGAGCCGCTGAAAGAAAAATGAGTCGCACGCTTTTTATATGCCTCCTAACTCCCAGACAAGAAGCATCAAACATTGGGTGCCAGTGTAAGATTTACCTTGCTGCTGACCGGCTCGGACTATGACACGAAACGCTCGTTCAACAACGCCTTGTCATTTCTTGACTGTTCACGCTGCGCGCTCCGACCACTGACTTCTACGCCAGTCTTTTACCAGCGGCGGAGAGCCTCTCGCATGGCCGATTAGGCTTCACCCCGTCGCGGTAGAAATCGCTACATACGGGTTAACATACGTGCAAGCTGGTCGAACGCTGTGGATAAGATGGTTGCCAACCGTACTTAAAGTTTTGCAAATTGTTTCCCACGCTTCAGCTCTCCTCTAACTGGTACATGGTTATCGAACAGTAACAGGAGGGAAATGGAGATCCGTTCTTAACTAGTTCGTTATCCGAACACACAATGTTTACTCGAAGTCACCAAGATCACAGATCTTACCATTACGGTTCTCCATCACAGCTGGAAATTTTTTTTTCTAAATTTACATACTCTCTAAATGTCGCTCAGTTTTTTACGGCTCTTTTTAGCACATAGAATTCTCTAATTTTTTTATGTTTGAATCTAAGCCTGGGTAAGCTTGACCAAGTGAAATATGGGGCCTTTTACGTACCAAACCAAAGAAGCGCCTCTGGCAACTCGCTATGAAAAGTTCGATGATTAAATTCGAACACTGGGAGTTCTCTTAACGTGCAACGACTTGGTGACATTGTGCCTTCTCCTCACAAGCCTCGGTCAGAATGCGGGCACTTATCCCGGGATTCGTTCACGCTGCCTGAGGGATCTGTAGGCCGGGGTGTTACCTTGAGACATTTGAGAAACGCTGCTTTTTTCTCTATTAGTGTTTAAGAGCCTATAAAACAAACACGTTAAATTAATGTTTTGTTTTACTATAAGGAACAATTAGCAGGTGTACTGTAGGGTAGTATTAAGTGCTTATGCATTTAAAGCTTCTGAATCAACTCAGAATCCTTAATATATACTTAAAGCGTATTTGCATTCTAACGGTAAGTTTCAAAATTAAGATGGTGGAATAATAAAAAAAAAAAAGACTTCACAAAATGGCCGCACTTTACTGGAACTCGTCAGCTTTTATATCTGTGTTAGGTGGATGATTTCAATCGTTAGTTCCACTTCAATATTCACCGGCAGAAAATTTGGTCGCTATAAGTCGGGTGTATGATAAAGCAAAGTAGTCCTAAGCTGTTCAATTAGAGCTAAATTGATGTTTCGAACAAACGCGGTTCTCCAACCAACATCATGGGCAGTCACACTAAAGAAGAAAACTATAATAAGATGACAACTATAATATCTCGATATAGTTAATGGAGCGCCGACTCAGCATTATTCCAAAGGAATGGAATAAAATGTGCACATTCGACTAAGTAGTGTACACAAATCATTAACAATATTTTATACCTTTGCGTACTTCGAGGACGACTACCTTTTTATTTCATGCCTTTAGAAACTCAGGACTTTCTCACTTTCTCAGCAACGTCTCGGTGCCCTTTGGCACGGTGTCTTCGTTGACAGATATAATGTTTATATTGCCATGGGTGAAGGCGACGAGACATTGAATAACGAACTGAAAATAAAGGTTTAATCAGCGAGCTTGTGCCGGAAACCAAAAAGGAAGGACATATGTCGAGAAAGCAGCAGCTTATAAGCCCATGCGGGTAGCAGAGGTACGTGATTTTAATATGGCGCATTCAAAAATGCATTTTATTTCAGAATTTAGGTTCTTTAACACGTCTTTCAGAGCCCTAGCAGCGTAGACAAAGAAGTTCAGCACTCAGGCAGGGGAGACTGTACACGACTAAGTTCACGTGGGGTCTGTGTGAAAATGTGAAAATGTGGACTGTGAAATGATGAGGCATCCGAGTTTAACTTCAATAATGCTGAGATTGTTTTCCAATGAAAATCGGCTTTAGTTCTGACATTTCGGCTATGAAGAGCATGGTTTAACCTTTAAAAAATCTTTTGATCTTCTAAAACATTCTGCGTTTTGACGTATGAGTTCCCAACCATTATATACGTCAGAAACAGAGCGCGGTTTCGCAACGATAAGAAGCGTTCTCAGGAAAAAAAGTAATTCTTTCAGATGGTATCACATTTCTGGCTAACCATGGCTTCTCTAGTGGCCATAATAACGGTTGTTTGTACATCCTTAGCACGACGCACGTTGTATCAAGCACATTGTATTTCACTTCGGCACTGAAGTGAAGGTCAGCTCATTAATTGGTGCATAATAGAAGTTATGGCTAAGGTGATGGCAATTAAATAATGAAGCTTTTACTGTATAGATTACATTTGACCAAGCCCTGCAACTCATTATGTCATCACAGAAATGTATTTAATATCGAAATATATCTAAAGCGCAAAAAATACGTGATTTATTTATGCATTTTTGGTCTGAATATACTTTGCTGGTGCCTACGGCT